ATAAGTACAACACATGACATAAGTGTCTCATTCATCAGGTTTCACTATCAACTCATTTCAAGAAATCTACATTTAATATTTATATATTACTTTACAACCTGACAACTCGTAGCAAAATAACTTAAAACAATTAAAATCAATACACAAGTTTAAGTACCAAAATCTTTTTTGCTGCATAACTGTTTTTACACAGTTAGAAATAGTACTGACCATCAAAATTGAGTATATTTATTTTAATAACATAAATACAATAATGACTGTTTGTGCTGTTTAATTCTAAAAGACTAAATATGCCTGTGAAAAGTATCGTACTTCAGCTTCTGAGTCGCTGACCTTCATCTTGATCAGGTCTTTCATCCAGTTGCTGTTGGTCCATTGAGCAAATGCTAAGATGCACCCTTGATTTGCTTCTGTATATAAATGTAGTTATAGTTTCACTACATGCAGAGTTTGTTGAACCCTCCCTTTCTTAGTTGTGGTAGGAATAGGGTTGGACATCTAGGTTGTTATTTTGTTAGCAATACTATAAAATGAAATCTGAGTTTGTTTTAACAATGAAAATAAGTTTTCAATTACTTGAGATCAAAAAACAGTTTTCAAACGTTGCCAACCACAGCTTTGTTGGTACATTTATTAGTCATGTACAGTAAAAGAGTGCGGTAGGGATTCTAGAGCTCAAGGAAATGTGAACAGATTATATGGCTCCCCGTACATCACACACTGTTTTACTGCTTTTTGATGATAAATAAATCCAATACATTAAGTAAGTTCTTAACTGCATCTTTTGAATAATGTTAATTTACTGAAACATTTTCTTTAACAAACTTTGCCTATTAAATCTGAAACAAAAATAAATTACGACGAGATTGCCATACTGTCATAATTTGATTCAAAAGTATTCAAAATAATGTCACCACATTTGCTAAAATAAATGTTCTTCATTTCTTTAACATTCGATTTATAAAAAATCACGAGTTTTATTTTCATCCTCAAAGAAAACATTGTGTGGTGAAACACAAAGGCTACAGAAATGGACAGAAATTAATGAGGTATGTATTTTTCAGTTTTGATTAATTTTCTGTTGTATTAATAAGTGGTATATTTACAGCAAATTTGGCATTTATGGTATTTTTCTATGGCAAATAGAAAGCTTGGCATTTGAATTATTGTTTTTGTTATTCAGTAACATTTTTTTTCTTCTGTTGAAAGTTATACTCCAGTGCATGTTTGAAACTTGTGTGATTCATATGTTTAATTATGTGTGAAATTAATTTAAAATAAAAAATCTTTTTTTCTCTGGTAAATATTTTCTGTTAATTTTAAGTCAATTACAATTACTCATACTTGTTTTCTTTAATTGCAGGAGCATTTCTGCCATATCAAGTCAGGAACAAATCTATTCCTACTGTACATGAAAAAAATAGTTCTATCAAAATATAAAGCTATGAAGTAGAACTTACATTGGTTAACTTAATGCAATACTTGTCTCGCTCATTTACTCAACATAATAGCAAAGAAATCTAATTGTAATTCAAATGTTCATTCTTAAATTTTATTTCTCTTGCGTATTATATGTGAAGAGCAATCTACAACAATACCGAAATACATAATCTAATTTTATGGCATTCAATTAATCATCCGTCGTGTGAACAAGTCAGGATCACTGCTGAGAAGCCAACGTTGGCAGCGAACATATCGACATGAAATGGTTTGTTCTTACTATTGAAATGACTTGAATATTCATATTGACACCAGCATTCATTTCGTACGACGCTCTGAGAAGAGTGGTGCGAGCAGCGGCTATAAATCGATAAAGTCCAGTCCTTATTTCATTCTCGTTTTTTAAAAATTCGGCAACGTAGCAGCAAAACCAATATGAAGACACGGGAAGCGTCGACTTCGTTATTATGCCCTACGTCGAATTCATCCGTCCTCCAAGTGAATAAACCATTTTACTAATTTGGGTGAACAATCTGTAAGAGAAAACGCGTATAATTTCAGAAGAAGATCGAATTTATTCGTCGAAAACAATCTTTGATAATGATTGCTCATTTATGTTTTTTGATCTTGAATGCATATTCAGTATACCAGGAAGATGTTTCTGACTTGTGCAATGAACTCCAGGATTTTCTTTCATAAATTGTGAGCTTACTACCAGCAGCCCTCGCTGTCAACGTCTGATCGATGTGAACCAGACCTTTAGACGATGTATATACAAGGAAAGTCACTTAAATTCTCAGTCAATTCGTTTTTTACCACTTATGAAATGGTCTTTCAGTCGATGATAGAACCTTGTGTAATGCTGAAACAGCTGAACTGAATAGTTGACTGGGTAGTTCTATATTCAACGTGACACTGAAGTCACCTAATTCGACTGGACCTTCTGAATACTATTGATCCGTGGTCAGTAGCGTAGAACTTTGCACATCATACTTATTTCTTTACATTATATACTTCGTCAAGCTTATTCTTCTACATAAAATTATTTCAAAATATCCATTCTTGTGTTATGGTGTACAGATAATCAAAAGTGAAATTGTACAACATAAAAATGATTTATATTGTGCGATTTTGTTTCAATTACACAAATATCGTTGGCTAACCAATTGCTTGCAGCGAAATATTTTAGCAAACGCAATTTTGACGTGAAACTACAGTACCTAACATAACTACTGATTTATTTGCTAAATCAGTTAGTAAATATAGCATAAAAAACAACAGTGACGACGATGGCAGCGAAGACTACGACCACGACGGCGGCGGTCTCTGCAAAGACGACAACGACGTCGACGACAGCATCGTCGGAGAAGACGTTGATGACAGCAGCGTCAGCAAAGACGATGACGTCAAAAACAACCACGCAGAATAACTACTACCACTACATCGACTACAATCATGACTTACCCATTTCGACTCCATAAATATAATTTTCATTACAGTATAAAGGAAATCGGAACTGATTCGAGGCATGATTTTATGCTTAAGGGACTACTTTGTATCTCGATGTACTGTAATGATTTTACATAAATAAAGATATATTTTAAAAAACTACAGTTTTTTGTTGTGATAATTATAAAAGATAGTTAAATTTCAATTTACATATCAAACCCACCCATTGCAGGCGTGGATCCGCGAGGAGGGAAATGAGGGGAATTTCTCCCCCCTAAAATATTTCAGTAATTGTTAATTTTAACTTGTCACTAAACTTTCAAGCAAAAATATTTTCGAATAATCATTAACACTAACGAAATTGTATCGCAGCATGAGCTGAGGGTAGCCTGCAACATTTTACAAAATCTGTAATGACACATTCGACCAAAACATTTTATATTTCCCTCCCAAAACTTGTCTCTGGATCCACCCCTGCCCATTGCATGAGTGAGTTAGCTCCTCTTGTACGACGTATCACATTAGTAATTCCACTTACATTCACACTGCTATAATAATCTTTCTCATTGCTTTTTATGAACTATTGAGGATGCTTGAGCATTGGAGACAAATTTGTAAAATATGCTATGCTGTAATCAAAGAGCAATTATAGTGTCATTCAATTAGTGGTGGATCCAAGATCACTAATTATTATCACCATTAGTGGTGGAGCCATAGATCTTATGCTCTTCATCCCCAATCCAATATTTGTTAGTATTTTTACTCAATATCAACACATTGATTGTAATCACATATCAAAAGATGTATTCTCATTACGAATAATGCACACATACATTTTTGTGTGGATAATTATATGTTTTTAAATTTCATGCTAGCAATTAAAACATTTTTTCAAAAATATTTGGGAGATTATAGCAATCAGTTAGTCACCACACCTCCCTTCAATACTTTCTGTATTCACCATTTTGTTCAATAAAGTAAACATATTAAACATGCTGCATAACACTTTTAAGAACATATTGATAAACATATCACATGCAAATATTGCATATGATGTACCCAAAGAAAAATTACTACCCATTGAATTGATTTAAATTCAGAACTTTTAAGTTCCTCAGTAGCATGAATTTCAACAATTCTTGCAAATGTACCTTAATAACTGTTCCATTCACTGGAATATTGAACTTATTCCTGAAGAATCAAATACATAAAAAGTATGAAAAAACAACAAATAAGTAGTGTGCTAATGACCAAAAGAGTTTGTTTTTTCTTCAGCAGCATAAATAACTAAGAGGGATGTACGATGTAGTAACAATAATAAGTTGTAGCACTATTAAACCTGTCAATGGCAATTTCACTCATTACAGAACAATGTGGGAAAACCATAAAGTAGGAAGTAATAGTCAAAAAGGATATTCATTCTTTTGGCAAATACAACTGTAATATATTTTGTACATTGTATTGTCTTTCATTCACAAGTATACATCTTACAATTACACATATTTTGTCCCTATCATTGTAAATTTCAGCCTTGCATTTCTTTGAATTTTTAAGAAAAGTGACCTAGCATACAATTTTTTTCTCCATTCTGTTTAATTATGACACACAAGATTCATATAAAATGTTTTGTGTCACAATGATGGTCACCTTTACTTTGCACTATGCTTTTATTTTCATTGTATGTTACATTAAGAGAAAATGAATAAGTGGCAATGAAAAATATAAAAATTGTTATTTAAAAATTTTGTTAATATAATGTTTTTAAACCTTGGGTGTCACTACTTGGTTTGAAAAATCATTCCCTGGCAAAAGAACCATTTAATAAATTTGCGTTCAGAATGGTAAGCAAAGTTTGTTTATTATTTAGAAGTTAAGTCATGGCAACTACCATTCTAAAATTACTGAAAAAACTTCATACTTTTAATTTCTGATTTAGTTCAAACAAAAGGTAATTAATAACCTCTCAATGAAATTAATAAAACTTTTAAATGCTAAGTCATGACAACTACCACTAAAATTGCTGAAAAGAACTTTGTACTTGAATTTCTCATTTAGTTCAGGCTGGACGTAGTTTATAAATGTTCTAAAGAGGTGTCTGTATTTTTTCACAGGAAACAAAACGACCATCAAAAGAAATGCAAGTTACAATTGCGCGACAACTGGGTCTTGAACCAACAACTGTGGGTAATTTCTTCATGAATGCACGTCGCCGTTCTATGGATAAGTGGAAAGATGAAGATCCCAGTAAAAGTACAGTAGTCTCCCATGACAGTCAACAGCACTCCCCAGGATCAACAGGGGTCATCTCCGGGCACAATCAATCAATCCCTCAGCAGCAGCAGCAACAGCAGCAAAATCAACAGCAGCCACAGCAACAACCAGACATATTGTGACATCATGCAAGTTACCCTATGCGAGAACAGCAACACCAGCAGCTTGTGTTCCTATGAAAGTAACAATCAAGCACGAATGTTGGATGTTGGACTCTGAATCTTTTCTTGTAAAGATATTCTTTTGACGAGGGGAAACTGAGTGAACTCTTTGTGACATGGTGCAAGAAAGATATTAAGTTTTAAACGTTTACATAGTTTAAACGTGATTCCCCTCTGATTCACAAAGGAGCTAAACATTCTATGACAACTAGTGAGACTTTTATTATCTTGTTTATTTATTTGCCCATTTCTATGAGAGATTTCAGTTGAATTTATCAAAGGTAAATTTGTAAAAAGTGTTTATGGTATTGTACCATTCTTGAGGCCTTTAGTTCAACTCAAAATTATGTGGCAAAACTAGTTCACACAGTGTAATCTCTAAGCCAGCTATCTTTTAAAAAGACTCGTGAGCACAACTTTGACAAAATGGTTTTGTTTCTTGGAGGTAGAGAATAATTTACAAGATGACACATGAAATCTAAATTTAATCTTCCATATTGACTTTTGACAGAAATATTATTTCAAAAGATAAAAAAATTGATCTCAGGGGCTTGAATGTAAATTGAAAATTTGATTAGAAAAATCCAGTGTAATATGGAATCTGTTCTGGAATGTTGTCAACTCTTGCTAAGCTGCTACCCTCCTAGAACCAAAACTCTCATACGTTGAACTCGGCTTATTGTACAGGGCTGGTAGCAGGAGAATTAGGTTATTTTGTAATATTGATCCAATATATTTGACCAAATGACCATCTATTACACTAATTAAATTAGTCTAGTCAAAAGACAAGTCTAGTCTGTGTAAAAGTCACATTTTATTTCATGTGTTCATATTAACCAAAGTATTACAATTATCTATTTTAGTAGGTTTATTTAATTTTGTATTTGTTGTGATACATTTATATTAAATACAAACCTAGTCATGATTAGTTTTAAGATAGAGTAAAGAGTTAGTGAAACTCTTCACTCCACATAAGTGTTTTCATCGTAGAATTCATTGAAAAGAATTTTTATTCCATTCCCAATACAAAAAGGATATATGAAAATGTTTTCACGGGTTATGTGACAAACCATAAGTCTGTATATTTTCAAAACTATGATATCATGAAGAAAGTTTCCATGATATCGTTGATCACTGTACATTGGACTCAAAAGTTAAGACAGTGACCCAATGCAAAGCAACTTGTAGTGAAGGTTCACCTAAGTAACTGAGCAATAGCCTTTTTTGTGTGTTGCTGTTTGTCCTTGGTGTTTAGTGCCCTTGCACGCAGAGACCTCTCATGAATCCTCAAGTCAGCAGAACTGAGGGAGGCAACTGAGCTACCAGCAGCTTCAAGTTGGTGGATTATGCTCCCCACTCAGCATTCCAGTCCTCTGGACCAATTATTCATTTGATCTCATTTGCATCATATCTCATAAACATTCTCTTACAGAAAATGGTAATTTATTTACATTATTTATGTATTTGTACAGTATAAATTTATTAATAAATGTTATTAATTTTATTTACTTCTTTTGAGTGTTGGCACCTCTGTTACTAAGAAATTGAATTGATGCAACCATTTGTTAACTAATTTATTTTTCAACCTGTGTAGTTTTACTTGAAATTTTTGTAGAATATATACATTTGTTCTTTGTGTACATACTACTTTGTAAAGAGTGCACATATGCAAAAAGTTTGCAGTCAACTTATCCCACATGTTGTGGTCCCCCGTACACCCCATGTTCACGAAGGTAGCTATGTTGCTAGGAGTGTGATTGATTGCTTTTTGGATTGACCAATATCTTATTCTACTTGTCCCTTTGTTATAGACTAGCGCGAGGTTTTTCTAGGTTGTATATACGAAGTCAGTGTCTAGCACTGCAGTACCTGTCAAATGACTCACTACCTGGATTATTTAAAAATCCAATGACTTGCTCTGAATGAACAAGAATATATCTTAAAATATTTTAAAATGACTCATCATACGTATTGAGTCGACTTAGTAATTTGTCTATTAGAAATGCACAGATTTTTACATTTTTATAGCATACTTCATTTGTAGCCAAACTATGATATTCTTCTTTTCTACTTCATTACAAAAAGCTCAATGTTAATGAAATCCAGATAGAACAGAATTAAGTTTGTCTTTGTTTTTTTTTGTTGGAATGGATTTCATCGTATCCAATGACAATGCTGCCATTAAGTTTGGCTGTTCCTTGTACCATTCAGAGATATTGAATACTGAAGTCAGCTAATTATGTCAAGCAATCTGTTGGCGATGTGCACAAACTGTACAAACAGTTCCTACAATGGCAAGCACCGAAAGCACTGCAACCTCAAAGTTCCAAATCATGAGGCCAGATTTGGAACAAATTTTGAATGTACTTCTCACTTAAGTTCTATTCAAGGCCTCTTCTCGTACTGTCTTTTCATGATTTTAGAGATATTCACACCTTTGAAATTTAGATCCACAATATTCATAATTACAATTAGATATATCTCAAACAATAACACATTTGAGAAAAAAATGCCTTCCGGTTCTTGCCATGTGCATTAAGTCTGTACTGTGCAATAATGGTTATTTTCCGTTTTGGTGTGAATTGTATCTTAACAACATATCATTGTGAATTTATGTGTTGAGGTAGGATGCTAAAACTTGCCCATGTACTACAAACATTATATCTAGAACAGATACATGAGTTATAGAAAAAGACAGAGTTTATATAGTGAGTTCAAGGGTAAGTTGACAGCATCTTACATATCACAATCTGCTCTTATAAAGTGCATATTGCATTTTGAGTGATTTTAGTCATTAAGTCACAAATTTCTTTTAGTGAAGCAAAAAGTTGTGAATATAATAATGAACAGCTCCAGGTGCAGACTGTGTTGTAGGAAGAATGTTTTCTTCGAAATAAAAATTCCACTTTGAAACTGAAAGATCAAGTCATTGTGACCACACACCCAAACACTAACATACACATACAGAAAATGATATTATATTTAACATTCCACAACAGGTCACCAGTTCTAGAAGTTTGGGACTGTGTCAATAGAAGGTAGAAACTAAGGGCAAGTATTGCTACTGTAAGTAGCTCCTCAGCTCCAGCATTGTTTTCATAGAAGACTGTGTGGTTAGCTGAGGCTAAAATGAAAAAGTGGCCCAGCAGCTTAGGTGCCAACACGGTGCTGCACCCAGGGTTTGACTCTGACACTTGTCAGCAAATGCCAGGGAGAATGAAATAAGAGCAATTTAAAAATATATCCAATATATATATATAGATCAACCGAAGCATTCATAAAGAGCACAATGAAAAACCACTAGAGGCAATGTGTAGTTGAAAAATGAGTTGTAAATTTAATATAATGAAAAGATTTTACAAAATATATCGATTGATTCTTATTTTACAAATATAGCAAAATGATAGCCTATAATTAGTGGATCAGATCTAATTCGGTTTGCCAGTTTAAAAGGAATGTCAAGTTAAAAACTGTTATGTAAGGCAATGCTATGCATAGTAACAAGTACCCCAACATACCTAAAAGTAACAAGAAATATAAATGAAGCTAATAATAATTTTCAAGGAAAATTATTTATTTGTCAATTTTGTTACATACATTATAGCAAATTTTTATTTAGAATGCATATTCTGTGCCAATCTGATATGTAAAGGTATACTATCACCTCAATCATATTTATTTCATATGAAAATCGGACCAAGTAAAAGTACTCGAGCTTATGGTAGCATTTGGATGTCATTTTGAATTTCTATTGATATCAATGTAACTTCTGGGACCCATGTTGCACATTTTCATTGAGCATCAAATGTTTCTCATTGTTAAGCAATACTGTTTTTCCTCAGTTACGGAAAATGCTGCAGCATAATCTCAATAAATTGACTAGTGATTCATGTTAACCTCATCACTGTTTCTTGCTATAGTTAGGTTCCAAACTGTGCAAACTTGGGGTGTTTAGACTAAACACTTGAGTTATATAACTACCGATTGAGACTTTTAGGGGCAATAGTGAATCACAAAAGAAACGAAAATGAGAATGGTGCTATACCATTCCTTGCTCTTACAACAAGTGAATTCTGCCACGGGCAACATGGTAAAAAAAGGGGCACCTTCATTCGTTTCTGCCCATGAGCCTTATATAAAATAGTGTACCACTGTTTTGTATGATATACACTCATATATTGGGTAGTAGGTGTGAAGATCAATCATTCAATCAGAGAAATAGTAATGCCTGCTTGACTGATGATAAATGGTAGTGAAGGTAAAATCTATCTTTCGGACGAAAAGTATATTTTGGTTTTTCATACTTAACTTATATGCACTTGCTGTATTTGTAAAGTAACATAGCAAATAAGATTTTGTGCTGTTTTGACAATAATCCTAAATGAAATTCAAGAAGGACATTGCATAACTTTATTTTTAAAACCTTGATTTCACACAACCCAACATATGTGTGTTTGTTCCTTAGAATGTGATCCCCTTTTATTTGTTATCAAGAACATGATGTTTTAGTTTTAAATACATATTTTATGTGCTATAATGAAATGTACAACATTATTTAAGATAACATAATTAAATTGTGATTAGAAACAGACTTGAACATGGATTTGCCTTCACATTACACTATCATTACCCAGAGACTCATTATCTATCTAATAAGTATAATTCATGCATTTGTTTTGCTGGAGAAAGCTGGTCATTTAACAGAGCACACTCTGCATATTATTATTTTTTGAAATAAAAACGTTCTACATTTCAGTTAATACTGAACATATTGTCATTTCTAAATTGAATTAATATAAATTAATTCTTATTTCATTGATAATAGACAGTGTTTCTCATTGCAAGTGTCCAGGTTGTGTGCTCTAACCAATGAAGGTGTGCTGTTTCTACCATATACTTTTGTTAACTAATAAGATAGTGCAATTATTAACTACAATATAAACTGTTAAAAAATCCATCAAATAAATATTTCTTGATTTTAGGAATTAAAAGCTTATGAACAATAATAAAAATGAATAAGTTAAGGGAATGGCCTCATTAACAATATGATTTATTATCTATTTATTATTCTTCAATTGAAACATAAATCCTTAGGTAATTTGAATGAATTTAATAGTATACAAATTATATGAAATAGTTACTTAATTAGACATTCAAATGCATTTTTATCTTAGTCAAAAGTAAATTTGAATATTAAATGTGACATGATGTGGAATGAAATGGATTATTTTGATATGGAATATCTTAGTTTTTTACAATAGGGGAAAGCCATCGAAGTTATATTTCCTATTCAAACATTAAATTAAATTTTATAAATTAACTGTGTAAAAAAATCTTTACATAAGTATTATATTTGTTGAGGATTCATGCCTGAGGGTTTGGTAATTTCTTGAATAAATTAGGTAAACATGATAGACAATATACAAAATGACTCTTTAACTAGTTTAGATCTTGGATTCCTTTCAATCTAATGCGAAATCTTTAGCTAAATTGTGTAGTAATTTTTACTTCATCTTTATTAGCTATAGAGCAAAACATGCACCTCAGTGACCTGCTTTTCCCAGTGAAAATCAGTCCTAAATTTACCACCTTTTGCATGAAAGAGTAGAACTTGAAATTTTAGTATGTAAACATGTAAGTGTTTAAAAATGGAGGATGAACCTTTTAGTTTAAAAATGTAAGTCACATTCCATTTGTATATTCAGTATATGAACAGATAAAACAAATTTCATTTATGAGTACCATTAGGTAATTTAGGTAAAGGGGGGGGAAAAAACTTACAAGCAGTTTACTGTGTAGGAAGATATGAAACAAAGAAGGGAAATTAAAAAAAAAATTCTATACAATTTACGTTCATTTCAATTATATACTTGAATTAATGAATTTTAGCGGTATAAATTGGTAGACTTTAATTCAGCAATGATAGTATTTTCATACAAGGAATGTTTACACACTAAAAAAATTATTAAATGAACTTGTGAAATATAATAAATGAAAATCACAATCAATATTACAGGCTTAAACACCTTACAGTCCATGATGATGATGATGATGATGATGATGATGATATTTTAATATTACATTTTTGGACACCCATTTGATTGGAAGCAATTTTATGACAAGTTTGTCTTTTTATAGTTTGTCAGATGCCTTCAGTTGTTCAGGTAGGAAGTGCTTTTGAGTATGTCAGTATATTTAAATAACATTCTCAAATTACTCTAAATTAATGTAACATTTTACAATATACTTAGAATGATGAAAACCATCACCTCATCGTATAAAATCATACACATTAGAAATGTTCAATCATAAGCCTTTTTATTGAATTATATCTGCTCAGAGAATAGATTAAAAAATAAATTTAAGATGACATAGTACTAATCTGTTGTAATGTCAATTTATAACCTTGCTGAGAGAATGCTTATGCATTCTTGCTCCTAGTGTCGGTGATGCAATTTCAAAGGATTACTTTTATTTACTTTCTTCCCCTGGGCATTGGAAGCCAAATATTAAATATGCCTTCACAAATGTGTTATTCGTTCTGTTCTGTAAAACAGAACTGTTCTACTCTGAAGTTTTTCAGCCTTTTTTAAAGATTATACTGTCACACTTGACTTAAAAGTTTAATGTAATAATGAAATTTCCCTAAACAATAAATTTTCTTAGCTAACTAAAATAATTAGGCATGTTCAATTTATTGGAAAAAAAATTAATCAATATAATTAGAAATAATTAAAAGAACGTGTAAGAAAGCCAATTTAGTCAAATATCTTTTATATTCACTTAGTAAACAATTGCAGGAATGAAGAAACTCAACTTAATGATCCATTACCATGAAGAAATAGTGTTTACATCTGTACAGTGATTATGGAATGTCGTGAAGATTCAGAGGAAGCACAAACTTTTTGGAGGTAGAGGTTAATTTTTCCTTCAAATCTTACCAAGGATATTTATGTATCTTTGCATATTTCTAAGATACAAGAACCACAGTTTGAAAACCTGCTTTGTGGATTGTAAGAGGATTCTTTCATCATCTTGCTACTTTCATTCTATTTTATTAAATAACTTGCCCATTCCTAATTATTTTACTAGCACGTGGTACCCTTTTTATAAAAAAATTAATAATGGCTTTTGGCTGTAAAAGGTTCTTTGTCTCTACAAGCAGTATCACCATTTTCTCGATGCCAGGTTACGAGATTGTGGGGCTCATGAAACTAATAAAAAGAAGTGTCCCCAATGCAAATGCATGTATAATATTAATTTATAAACATTTAGTACTATTAAGGAAATGTATAGATAGTTCAATGATTATCCAGAGGACATTATTTCATACTTGCATAAAACCAAAAAGTTTAATTTTATCTGTAAAAGTGAAGTTGACAAAGAAATATCAAACAGAAATAAATATCAGTAAAAACTTTTCACAAATTTTACGAAATGATATCTATCAAAATAAAGTGTCAATATATTATTTCATTCATCGATAATTATTAATGTAGACTGTAATTAGTTGTACATTGATCTTTTCCTTATTTTCTAAACATAGACGAGTATTGATGAATGAAAGATTATTGTATTGTAAACATTGACGAGTATTGATGGATGAAATCAAGTTAACATGTCTTACACAAAAATTAAATAATAATTGATCATTTTATTTTTTTAATTTTTTTTTTCTTTTTCTTTCACAAAATAAGTTAGCATGCAGTCTTGGTTAGTATTCTTGGCACATGCCATATGTGCCACCAGACTTACATTTTCTAAGAAATCATTCAAAAATTCTGTTAGTATAATATCTTTGGGAAATGCATTATCTGTGTACTTGTCTATAAAAGATTTTTAACTATGTGGAAGATGAATATCAGATACTGTGCTTAATGGCTTTTAATACTATTCTTTTCTTTGTTTTTAATATCATACCCAGAATAAAACAAATAAGCATTTTGTTCATAGTTTTGAAAGCCAATCAAAAGTTGATGTAAAACTATTCTCTAAATGCCAAAAATATTTTAAAATAGAATTTATCCCACAAGATGCATTTGGGTAATCTTAAGTTGTACAAATCATCTGAAAGGCACATGTAAAGTGTGTGAAGGACTCAAGAACATATGCAGCTTTAGAGTCAATGAAATGTGAGATTTAAGATGATTGGGTAGGAGCAATTTATTGTGGTTTTAATGAACCATTCAAAAACAATGAGACAAGTAGCTTTTACAAATATAATTGGGGGCAGGATAGTAGTGAGATGACTCATTTTCCTTTCAGAATACCAGGATTTGAATCCTGGTCATTCCATGAGAACGTTTTGGTGGGCAAAGCAGGTATGCAGCAGATTTTCCCTATCTTGCATTAAAACATGTCTATTACAATAATGTTTCGTCATCATTAGGAATGTCACTATTCTTGTTACTCTTAAATTTATCTTATGGTTTAAAAAATATCATCTAATAGTGGTCATGAGAAAACTGGCTGTAAAACAAATGCCTCTGGTGTCTCCCCACAATCACTCTGTACAATAAACAAAAAATTCAATTTTAAACATTTTGACAATTCTTTAATATGGGACAAAACAGAAGAAAGAAGGTTCAGGTCAGTACATAATAATTAAACTATGTTTATGTTTAATATAATGTTAGGCTGAAATTTTAATTCTGTATACCTACTCAAATAGCTAATGTCCATTGCATAATTGATCTTGAGCACTGCTCACAGAGAGTAAAGTAAGTTGTGACTTTCATGTTATCACATTTCTCTTGTTTATTTTCCCTCTTTTAAGAGCAAATAACAATACTTAGTAAAAGTATATGAACCAAACATAAATATCATTGTAAAAGATGTGAATGGAAGAGGGAAACATTTCTGAGAATTTCGCATATCACACTTTTGATCTATAAGTTGAAATTGAGAAATTGCAAACACAAGATGTGGTATAATTTAAGACAACAGACATAAAACCTTGACAAATTGCACTAGCTGATAAAACTTACACTCACTAAACCATATTTAGTTTGTCATTATGTCTCTGGTACTACATTATGAGTTGCATTAAGGTAGAACCTCATGGCGTACTTCATTCCAGTAAATGTCCACAATTATTACATTTTATATTATTTTATTGTACCCATAACAAAATTTCATATTAAGAAAACCCACATTCTATAATGTAAAGAATCTACTTTCACATTCTCGCTATGCAGTAGAGAGAAAGTTATGTAATGCTGTAAATTTTTGGCAGAAAAACTCTTATGGCCCTAGTAATGAAAATTTGGATAAATCCAGTTGCAAAATTTACAAGAAAAAAAAGTCCTCTATATGTTGGTGTAGCTAGAATCCATGTTTCGAGGGTCCTTGATACCCAAAAATCCAGGGGCAGACCCAGCCAATCATTTTGGAGGGGGTCATTATAGATTTTTGTTAAATAATAAGCATTTGTTATTATATTGAATATTCTTTTTGTAGTGTATACATGATACAGTACAATATTATTTTTTAAATGATTACATTGTTTTAACATAAATAAATATTTAAATCAATTTTGCCATATAAAAGATGGTAACAAACAAAAACTCTAGGCCTTTTGGGGTACGGGGC